TTTTAGAACTACCCGAATTTGGTGCACAAGACGCAGTCAGAACCAAAAATGTTGCAAATGCTTCATGAATTTAGTGTAATAAATTAAAGCGGTAGTAAACCGCAAAAAAAAATTCCAGAAAAATGGTCCACTGCATGATAATAGCATAATGTGCTAGTATGCATTGCAAACTAGCATATTATGAAAGACTTACCTTAGAATGAAGCCCTCCAGTAGTGCGCTGTCACCGCTGACAGCACTTCCATCTTCACCCAGTCTTCCTTCCTGGTTTGCAGTCTTTGGCTGTTTGACTGGCCAAGCCATGATGACGTCACTCCCAAGCATGCGCATGGGAGTCACAGCCACTTTAGAGCTCTCTCAATGGACGTCACACCATCCATTAGGAGTGCAGTGCACATGAGCCCGGGACATCACCGACTGCTACTATAGTAAATATCTCCTAAATGGTACACGTCTAAGAGATATTTACGTAGCTATAGGAAATCCTTATTTTAGTAGGGACTTTACTACCACTTTAACAAGAGGGTTGACAAAAGAAAAGTTACACAGCAGCTTTATTGAATTCCCCCCCGCCGTCTGCATCCAGGGTCGGTCAGAGAGTTTATTCCTACATATCCACTCAAATGAGCACTTACATGTGACCAGCGCCCACACTAGCCATTGGTTTGTACAGTACAAGTACAATTAGACAGCCACCACTGACAGCAGCTGCTGTTCACGCAAGTGTGTGCATGCAGCGTTCAGAACCGCTGGAAAGAATCTACTAATTCTCACTGGTGGTTGCCCCTGGGCAGCCTTGTGAATTTAGCCTAACGGCATTTCTGAAGAAGATCACCAAAGATAATCGAAGAAATGAAATTTGAAAGTTGTCCATGGTAATCACACATTTCTTGTTTTTATCCTCTATAAAGATGTAACAAGTATTCTGACTGGTGACTACAGGCGACATCTATGTTTTGATGCCCATTTTCTTTCTTCTTATCTTTTCATAAGAAGCCCCCAAAGTCTCCATCCTTGTTTTGTAAAGCTGTGCAGTATAATTTCATTTGTTAGACAGAATCCCATTTCCTCTTCCTTCCGAGGCATTGCAGTGCATTCTTCTCCTCTTCCTGTACAGCCGGCTACTGTACATACCAAGTCATTTGCTCACCTACATAGTCATGCTTTTCTCACAAATGTTTCATGTCCTTCTTACTACATTCATTGGTGGGGAAAAGCAAAAACATGAAGAATATGTTCCTATTTATAATCACATTTCTGGTAATTCTCTTCACAGGGCACCCCTTTTTTGTTTTATTTTGCATAACCATTTGGTAATAAGGTATAATCCATTTATTATAACTTAAAAATCTAATTATTTGTCATAGTTACTGACAGGTCAGTGATGAAAAAAAAACAAACACTGATAGCACTAAAGTGATAGATAACAGAAATATAAAACACAAACCAATGCAGATGAGAAATAATGTGCAGTGTATGAAAGCCCTGCGAATTTGAAATATAAATAGAAACTGTTCAAATATTAAATATTACATCATTTTTGCTATGGTTGTAATAGTAGTGTTACATAATTTTTACATAAAAAATATAATCTACAGTTAAGTACATATATATTTGGATACAGGCACAATTTTAGTTTTTTCAGGTACTTACCAAAACATATTCAAGCTATAGTTATATAATGAATATGGGCTGAAAGTGCACACTCTCAGCTCTGTAGAATAGCCATCCCCCCTTTTTCAAGAGACCAAAAGTAATTGGACAATTGAATCAAAAGCTGTTTCATGGCCATGTGTGGGCTACTCCTTCATTATTTATTCATCAATTAAGCAGGTAAAAGGTCTGGAGTTGATTCTAAGTGTGGTATTTGCATTTGGAATCTATTGCTGTGAACCTACATCATGCGTTCAAAGGCACTGTCCATGCAAGTGAAACAGGCCATTGTAAGATTTCAAAAATGAAACAAATCCATCAGAAAGATAGCAGCAACATTAGGAGTGACCAAATCAATAGTTTGGTACAGGTTCTGAGGAAAGAAGAACGCACTGGTGAGCTCAGCAACATAAAATGGCATGGGCATCCACGGAAGACAACAGTGGTGGATGATCGCAGGATCCTCTCTATGGTAAAGAAAAACCCATTCACAACATCCATACAAGTGAAGAACACTCTCCAGGAGGTGGGCTTATCCTTGTCAAAGTCTACAATCAACAGATGACTTCACAAGAGAAATTACAGAGGGTTCGCCACAAGATGCAAACCATTCATAAGCCTGAAGAATAGAAAATCCAGATTAGACTTTGCCAAAAACCATCTAAAAAAGCCAAGCCGGAATGACCGGAAGAAAAACGTGTGGAGAAGGCTTGGAACAGCTTATGATCCAAAGCACTCAACGTCATCAGTAAAACATGGTGGAGGCAGTGTGATGACATGGGCATGCATGGCTTCCAGTGGCACTGGGTCATTGGTGTTTATTGATGATGTGAGAGAAGACAGAAGCAGCAGGATGAATTTTGAAGTGTTTAGAGATATACTGTCAGCCCAGATTCAGCCAAATGCAGCAAAGTTGATTGACCGGCGCTTCACAGTACAGATGGACAATGATCCAAAACACACTGCAAAAGCAACCCAGGAGCCTTTGAAGGAAAAGAAGTGGAATATTCTGCAATGGCCAATCTCAACCCAATTGAGTATGCATTTCACTTGCTGAAGGCAAAACTTAAGGCAGAAAGACCCACAAACAAAGAACAACTGAAGACAGCTGCAGTTAGAGCCTGGCAAAGCATCAGAAAGGAGTAAACCCAGTCTTTGGTAATGTCCATGGGTTCCAGACTTCAGGCAGTCATTCTCCACAAAATATTAAAAATGAACATTGCATTTATGATTATTTTCATTTGTCCAATTACATTTGAGCCCCTGAAAATGGAGGGACTATGTATAAGAATGGTTTCAGTTCCTAAAATTTGTACTTGATATTTATGTTCAACCTCTTGAGTTAAAGCTGAAAGTCTGCACTTGAAATTCATTTGGATTGTTTCGTTTTAATTAATTCTGGTGGCATACAGAGCCAAAAGTATGAAAATTGCGCCTGTGTCCAAATATATATGGACCTATCTGTATATGTATATATTTCACTAACTGGATGAAAACGTGCTCACAGATTCCATTACTTTATTCCAGTGCAGATTACATCAAGTAACCCCAATAGAACAAAGCTAACCATGGCTATAAACCCCAATAGAACAAAGCTAACCATGGCTATAAACCCCAATAGAACAAAGCTAACCATGGCTATAAATAGATGGTTGGCTATGAGTACACAATCCACCCACTGATTTTTTTTTTGTACAGATTTCTATTCTACATGCATGTATTGTCTATGGAATGAACAGAAAGCACCATAGTCAGCTTTATCTTAGGGGTAGAGGGCTAATAAAATTGATTCTGGTCAACTATTTTCCTGACAATGATCCACCTGGACTGTCTGCTCTATTCCAAACACAGCCCTACTCATGATAACAACTGCCACAAATCATCTAACACATGTTAAGCTGGTGTCAGGAATGGACTTGCCAGTAATGGTGGGACTCACCTGCCTTGTGGGCTGCAGTACCAGGGCTGGCCAGCGGGTGCTCCCAGCAATCAGAGACTCAACCCTGCAGCCAGCCTAACACCTGAAGTTGATTATGCAGGTGTATTTAAGGGATGGCCAGACCTGCAGTCTCTGCCTTGGTGTGTGTTTTTCCTGGGCCCTGTATCTTGTTCCTGCATTCCTGTTCCTGTTCCTGTCCCTGTCCCTGTCCCTGTCTCTGTCTGATTCGTTGCTGACCCTGCCTGATCCGGACCTCTGCTGACTTCTCCTGTTTCATCCCTGGCTTGTGACCCCGACCATTCTCTGCCTGACCCCCTGTACCTACCTGCCCGATTGTTATTGACCCGGCCTGCCTGACAACGCTTGCATTGTATGTACTGTTATCTGTGGGTGGTTTTGGTTTGGTTCGTTTGCACTGTGTTATGTTTTAGTATTGCACTGCGTTTATGTTTGTATTGTTAGTCTTTAATAAATTATATTGTTTATAACTTATCTGAAGCCTGTGTTTCCCTGCGTCAGTTCACATACCTCTGGTCATACCCTGGAGCCCTGACATTACACCAAGGCCAATCCTGACCAGAAGTGGCTGCACAGGGAAGCCATCTTGGCTTGTTGCTGGGAAGGATGGATCTTGATGAGGTTGTGTATTTATCTCTGCTAGTGTTTGATGACAGAGAGTATGCTTATCAAACTCTGAAGGAGTATCCCCGGGATGAACTGCTAGAATGTATACGGATCGCTCATTGCCTAGTAGATCAGGGCACAGAGTTCTCTGAGGTGCAGCCATTGATTCAGGTTTGTGCTGAGTTGGTTTCATCTGGTACCCCCGAATGCAGGGATGAATTTTTGCCCCCATTTAGCGCCAACCAGGTAGAGTCCCTGGTATGGTTATTAGAGGATGATGTGGATTACTTTCTGGAGCGTTATTCTGCATGTTCACAACAGTTACTAAGAGATTGTAGAAACGCAGTGCAGTCTTTGGTCAGACAGGCTTTGTGTAAGCTGAGCTTTGTTCAATCCATACTGCAGACATGGTCAGACTTGTTGCACCCAGCCTCAGTCAGCTTGCAAAAACCGAGTCCTGCTTCTAATCTATTTCTTCAAAGCTCTATTCCTGCATTCCCAACAGCACCTCCAGTTACAGCCCAGTATACCCTGCTATCTACCGCATGTCAGTACCCTGTTCCCACTGTTGTGCCTGGTGACTCGGTGCCCACTGCCTTGCCAGATGACGCGGTGCCGCTGGCGAGCCAAATGACCTGATGCCTGGTGACCCAGTGCCCGCTGTCATACCTGGTGACCCGATGCTCGCTGTCGAGCCAGACAATCCCATGCCTGATGACCCAGTGCCCGCTGTCATGCCTGGTGACCCGATGCCCGCTGTCGGGCCAGACGATCCGATGTCTGACCCAGTGCCCGCGGTCATGCCAGTTGACTCGGAGCCCACTGTCGTGCCTGGTGACTCGGTGCCCACTGCCTTGCCAGATGACGCGGTGCCCGCTGGCGAGCCAAATGACCTGATGCCTGGTGACCCAGTGCCCGCTGTCATGCCTGGTGACCCGATGCCCGCTGTCGAGCCAGACGATCCAACGCCAGATGACCCGGTGCCCGCTGTCGATCCAGACGATCCGGTACCTGATGACCCGGTGCCCGCTGTCGTGCCAATTGACTCAGAGCCCACTGTCATGCCTGGTGACTCGGTGCCCACTGCCTTGCCAGATGACGCGGTGCCCGCTGTCGAGCCAAATGACCTGATGCCTGGTGACCCGATGCCCGCTGTCGAGCGAGACGATCCAATGTCTGACCCAGTGCCCGTGGTCATGCCAGTTGACTCGGAACCCACTGTCGTGCCTGGTGACTCGATGCCCACTGCCTTGCCAGATGACGCGGTGCCCGCTGGCGAGCCAAATGACCTGATGCCTGGTGACCCGATGCCCGTTGTCGTGCCTGATGACCCGGTGCCCGCCGCTCCGCCTGGGGGCCCGGTGCCCGCCGCTCCGCCTGAGGGCCCGACGCCCGCCGCTCCGCCTGGGGGCCCGATGTCTGTCGCCCCGCCTGGGGGCCCGATGCCTGTCGCTCCGTCTGGGGGCCCGGCGCCCGCCGCTCCGCCTGGGGGCCCGTCGCCCGCCGCTCCACCCTGGGGCCCGATGCCCGTAGCTCCGCCTGGGGGCCCGATGTCTGTCGCCCCGCCTGGGGGCCCGATGCCTGTCGCTCCGCCTGGGGGCCCAGCGCCCGCCGCTCCGCCTGGGGGCCCGTCGCCCGCCGCTCCACCCTGGGGCCCGATGCCCGTAGCTCCGCCTGGGGGCCCAATGCCTGTCGCTCAGCCTGGGGGCTGCTGCTCCGCCTGGTGATCTGGTGTCCAGCTCGAAGTGCCGCTGCCCGGGGTCCGGCTCGATGTGCCTCTGCCCCGAGTCCTGCCGGAGTCCTGCCCGATGTGCCGCTGCCCGGAGTCCTGCCTGATGTGCCGCTGCCCGGAGTCCTGCCCGATGTGCCGCTGCCCGGAGTCCTGCCCGATGTGCCTCTGCCCGGAGTCCTGCCCGATGTGCCTCTGCCCGGAGTCCAGCCCAATGTGCCTCTGCCTGGAGTCCAGCCCGATGTGCCTCTGCCCGGAGTCCAGCCCGATGTGCCTCTGCCCGGAGTCCGGAGTCCGGAGTGCCCGATTGTTATTGACCCGGCCTGCCTGACGACGCTTGCATTGTATGTACTGTTATCTGTGGGTGGTTTGGTTTGGTTCGTTTGCACTGTGTTATGTTTTAGTATTGCACTGCGTTTATGTTTGTATTGTTAGTCTTTAATAAATTATATTGTTTATAACTTATCTGAAGCCTGCGTTTCCCTGCATCAGTTCACATACCTCTGGTCATACCCTGGAGCCCTGACAGCTGGCTATACATGATTTGAAATTTGGCCAGTTCAGCAAGGACTGGCCAGATATCAATCCATGAATAGGCAGGTTGATTGATGGATCAACTTGGGTACAATCAACTTGTCAGAATTTCCTGCATGCGAATGCTTTCAGCAGTTATAGTCACTAGCAGTAACCAATGTACAGTTGCAAGAAAAAGTATGTGAACCCCTTGGGATTACATGGAGTTTTGCATGAATTGGGCATAAAATGTGCTCTGAACGTCATCTAAGTCACAACAATAGAAGAACACAGTCTGCTGAATATAATACTACACAAACATTAGATGTTGCCATGGTTTAATTGCACATAACATGTAAACATTCACAGTGCAGGGAGGAAAAAGTATGTGAGGCCCTAGCTTAATGACTTCTCCCAGAGCTAATTGGAGCCAGGAGTGAGCCAACCTTGACTCCAATCAGTGTGATGATATTGGATGTGTTGCTGACAGCTGTCCTGCCCTTAAAAAACACACACCTGTTTTGGGTTTACTGCTTTCAAGAAGCACTGTCTGATGTGAACCATGCCTCGCAGAAAAGAGCTCTCAGAAGACCTACGATCAAGAATTGTTGACTTGCATGAAGCTGGAAAGGTTTACAAAAGTATCTCCAAAAGCCTTGATGTTCATGTGTCCACGGTAAGACAGACTGTCTACAAATGGAGAAAGTTTAGCACTGTTGCTACTCTCCCTAGGCGTGGTCGTCCTGTAAAAATGACTGCAAGAGCACAGCGCAGAATGCTGCATGAGGTAAAGAAGAATCCCAGAGTGTCAGCTAAAGACCTACAGAAATCTCTGCAACATACTAACATTTTTGTTGACACATCTACAATAAGGAAAACATTAAACAAGAATGGAGTACATGGGAGGACACCACGGAAGAAGCCATTGCTGTCCAAAAAGAATATCGCAGCACATTTGAAGTTTGCAAAAGAGCACCTGGATGTTCCACAGCACTACTGGCAAAATATACTGTGGACAGATGAAACCAAGATTGAGTTGTTTGGGAAGAACACACAACACTATGTGTGGAGAAAAAAAGGCACAGCACACCAACATCAAAACTTCATCCCCACTGTAAAACATGGCGGAGGGAGCATCATGGTTTGGGGCTGCTTTGCTGCCTCAGGGCCTGGACGGATTGTTGTCATTGATGGGAAAATGAATTCCAGAGTTTATCAAGACATTTTGCAGGAAAACCATCTGTCCGCCAACTGAAGCTCCGCAGAGGATGGGTGATGCAACAGGACAATGACCCAAAGCATACAAGTAATTCAACAAAACAATGGCTGCAACAGCACAGAATACGCCTTCTGGAGTAGCCCAGTCAGAGTCCCGACCTCAACCCGATTGAAATGCTGTGGCATGACCTTAAGAGAGCGATTCACACCAGACATCCCAAGAATATTGCTACACTGAAACAGTTTTGTGAAGAGGAGTGGTCCAAAATTACTCCAGTTCGTTGTGCAGGTCTGATCTGCAACTACAGGAAACGTTTGGTTGAGGTTATTGCTGCCAAAGGAGGGTCAACCAGTTATTAAGTCCAAAGGTTCACATACTTTTTCCTCCCTGCACTGTGAATGTTTACATGTTATGTGCAATTAAACCATGGCAACATCTAATGTTTGTGTAGTTTTATGTTCAGCAGACTGTGATCTTCTATTGTTGTGACTTAGATGACGTTCAGAGCACATTTTATGCCCAATTCATGCAAAACTCCACGTAATCCCAAGCGGTTCACATACTTTTCCTTGCAACTGTATTCTGCCACTTGGGAGGATCCCCGTACCCCCCCCCCCCCCACCCGCAGAATACAATAGAACATGAACACTGTCTGTGTTGATGGGGGAACTGAGTGATTTTCTTTTTCCCATGGTTGAAGGATGCAGTCCTAACTGCCCACTGTAGCATGTCCACAGTCTCTGACCACCCCCTGTAGTATGTGCATGGTCCCTGACTGCCTCCTGTAGTATGTGCATGGTCTGTGACTACTACATCCTGTAGTATGTGCAAAGTGCCGGGCAGCCTCCTGTAGCATGTTTACAGTCCCTGACCACCTCCTGCAGTATGTCTGTCAGTGCCAGATCTAGGGGGGTGCTGCCATGCCCCCTCAGTACCCAGGGCTTCCAGGTCCGGTCAGTTCAACAGGGGGGCCATGAGTGTTCCAGTAAAAGCTTCTCCTACAAGGCAATCCAGGCCATGATGCTGCAACTTTTTTTTTTGTCTCTGCACACAGACCTCAGGTAATAGGCAGTGCAGAGCCAAGGGAACTCATAGACTCCTTCTTGGCTCTGATGTGTCATATGACATAGATGAGGGGGAGGTCTGGGAGGGAGGAGTTCCCCTGGGGTCTGGTAGGTGTACAGGGAGAGACTTTCTGCCAGGATGAAGTATCTTGTAAGCAGAGAGCTTTATGATGTGTGGGGAAGATTGCTTTGGACGGATTGTTCTTGTGGGGACGTTTTACTATGGAAGTTAGCTATGGGAAGGGAGTGTGCTTGAGTGAAGGGAGGTTTGCTTTAGGTGTAGGAATTTTGTAGGAGCATATTTGATGTAGATATTTTTGCTGTGTGGGAAGTGGGGTTGCTTTGGGGTGGAGTAGGGGGATCTTGAGGGTGAAAGAGACTTTTGCTTTTTGAGGTGAGCGTGTGGGGTTTGCTTGGGATGGGGTTTCTTAGGGGTAAGAGGAGGACATTTTTGCTGGGGCAGATTTGTGCTTTGAGTGGGGTGCTTGAGTTAAGGTGTGTTTTGCTTTTGAAGGGGAATTTTGTTTGGTGGGAGAGGATTGTTACTTTTGGGGCATTTCTTGAGGGAAGAGATGCTCTTGCTTGGTGTAGGTCAACTTTTAATTCGCATAGATTTGTGTTTGGGTGGGTGTAGGGGAGTTTATTTGCTTTGAGTGATAAAATTATGCTAGGGAAGATTTTACTTGTAATCACCAGAATGGGGATGTTGGAAATGTTTGTCTGAATGCCAGATCTCTGGTGTGGAACTCTGCTGGTGTGCACTGAGTGTAAACAGTGCTGATGCACTGATTCCAGGATATCACACTGTTTATTTTTTTTGTGTTTTTGTAAGAACTTTATTGAAATGTCACAAGTGACTTTTCAGTTTTTTTATTCAGTATAGTGACATTGCGATGAGGTGGTTTGCTTTGGAACACACTGCATTGAAAAAAAAGTAGTAGTGCAGTCTTTTTTTATTTTTTTTCAGCACACACCAACACAATGCTGTGGTGTGAACTAACTACATAGAAAAATAGGCAAAGCACTTTTTTCTTTGTGTTGGGACAATACTGGGCAAAGGTAAGTAATTTTTTAAACATTGCTAGGAGATAGAGTTTCCTCGTTCTGCTAACAAATCATTTCCCCTGTCCCATAATAAGATTTTATTTAGTGTACACTGCCTGTGGCACATATGATGTCCAAAAGCCAAAGTGCAGTGATATGGAAACCAGAAAAAGTGGCATTAAAATATGGAGTATGAAATCAATTGCAAATTTATAATCCTCAATAAAATACAAAATTTGTGACTGAGTGATTTTTTACCCTTAAATTAATTTAAAATCCCAGTAATTTATAAGATTAATAAATCCAATTACAGTGATTTTAGTGCCAAATAATCATATAAACAAAATTATTTATTAAATCAATTATAAATTAATAATCCTAAATACAATACAAAACATGTTACTGAGTGATTATTCCTCTTCAATTAGTGACTCATGTGAAAATGTATTAATTTTTTTTTTTAATGGGATTTGTAATTTAAAAATAATTATTGTTTAAGGGTTACTATGAAGTATTAAGGAGCGCAACATACATTGGTGAAATATTTTGATACGCAGTGGTAGTTATGTGTTTTATGTTGGCGATCCATTAGAATTGAGGATATTTTGGCTCGCAGGTTATATAAATGTATACATATTTTCAGAATTAAAATATGGAGGCACCGAAGGATGAAGCGACAAGATACAGCTCAGTCATTGTTGATGGAGGGCAAACAGGCAGGTTTTTCTGCCACAACGTGCAAGCTACAGAGTACCAGGCAACTGCATTTT